CCTCATAATATGTGCCAAATCAGAGGAAAACACCTAGGGCCTTCTTGTTAAAGTTCTGGTCCTACGATAGGTATAAGTTCTGGACTAAATCCAGACCATCACAGCTTTAGACTGGCAGAAAATCCAAAAGGTGCTGATAATTTTGGGATGAAGAGTTTGAAGTTTTATCCATAACTTTGAGATGATTTAGATATATTCATGAACCAATACTCAGGTGGCAAAGATAAGAGTTGGTGTTTCCCCCCCAAAAAACTATAAAAATGAGACCTCCGGCCCTCTTCCATCTCCATCTGGTCCATGCTGCTGAGTGCTCCCAACTCTGATCCATGGTGACATGAGTGACGCTCCCCGTCTTTCCCCCTCCCCATTCTGTTCCCTTCATTGCTTTCCTTCACCATACCCCCTATCCCCATGCCACTTACCTCAATATCCCTCCTCACTTTTCACCACTTGTCTCTGGGGTTTCTTAAAGCCTGTTTTCCACTGCCAATTGCAGTCTTTCTTGGAGAGTATCCAAAGAACTGGGCATGCCTGCCTGTTTCATAATTTCATTATCAATTCAAGAAGGTTAGGAAAGGCCACTGTGCAGAGGGGCAGAGTGAATTCATGAGGGAGGTATACATAGTAGGACTGCCTGGTTGAGTTTACGTAACATAAATCTGGAGTGGCCCCAGTCGGAATAATTGTGTGACTTTCTCCACCTTCGTTCAGCAGCATGTGTGTAGGTGCAAAGATGACAAATGGTGTAAGTCATCCAAGGCTGGGTGTAACTGAAGGTATGACGAGGGGGCCAGGAATTCAAGAGGGAAGGACAGGACAGAGCTGAGCTGACCCACCAAGGGGTCAAGATGTGGAAGGGAGAATGGCTAGCACTGGGGAGATGGCCTGGAAGAGAAATGAGGAGTCAAGGGATTAGAAGTCACAGTGCAGATTAAGAGCAGGACTATGTAAGGGATGGCAAAGAGAGGTGAAAAACCAATAGATGATGGTCAGAAAAGGGGATTTCAGAATTCTTGACCATGGAGGTGGCACATGTGGATGATGGCAAGATCCAGGGCATGACCATCTTTGCGTGGGGCTGAGGTGGGGTGGAGGAGGAGCTCAGGGGAGCTCTGGAAGTTGAGGAACTGAGTGGTTAGGGTACCTGAGGGAGGATCAACACTCCCTAGCAGGAGTGCAGGAGATGGGGTAGGAGAGAACATTTTAAGCCAGGTCTCCAAGCTCACTGAAGAAAGGAGAGCGACCTGGGGTTCTGGAGACAACAGCCTCCCCAAAGCCTCCCTAACTCCAATCAGATACCTGCTACTAAAGTAATTCTCATCAAACACAGGTCTGATGTGTCACTCTTGGGTAAGCTCCAGTGGATCCCTCATCTCTAGGATCAATTCTGAACCCCTGTTTGGCATTTAAATCTCTTCCTAACCTAATCCCTTCCTACCTTTCCAAGCTTCTTAAACACTATTACTTTCCAATCACTAGGCTATATGGCTGTACGTACTCTGTGCCAGGTACTCTTCTAAGTACTGAGGGTACAAAGAGAGGCAAGATTCACGCCCAGGTCCTCAAGGAGCTAACAGGACAGACAGACCATCACATAGAAAGAAGCTGAAAACTGGGGAGAGAAGGGAAGGTACTCAGGTCGGGGGGGGGGGGCTGGTGAAGAGGTCATGGGAGTCCTGAAGTGGTGCAGCAAGGTGGGAAATGAGGAGCTGCCTGTGCTGAGCCCACTCCTTAAATGGCAATTTTGGAGTTCAGTCCACGCCCTCCAATAAGGGGTACAGGGTAGTGAAAACAGACGCAGAGAGAAGTCATAAGGGGTGTGGCACTGAATCCCTTCAACAATTTCTCAGCTAGTGACTATCTAGCCTCCCCTTGAAGATGTACACGTGTGCGCGCGCGCACACACACACACACACACACATCCCAGAGAGCTGTGGACATAGATGCAGGTCTACAGGTAGAGAAATCAGAGTTAGATACGGATTTAAGTGTCATCCACATAAAGATGTTAAAGTTGTGGGAGATTATCACACTTCGGAGTGAGAGATGATAAAGAAGGAAACAAAGAGTCAAGGACCTAACTTTGGAGAAGACACCTTAAGGTGCTGAAAAGAGGCAGTGCTAGAAGGTGCTGTCAGAAAAGGAAAGGATTTATATCCGCAAGGTGTACAATCCCTCTAAACAGCTATCTAGAGGAATGAAAAGGTCAAGAATCTCATGGTAAATGACGAAAAAAGTGTAAAGAAAGGGGACCTGGCAGCACAGATATCAAAGTAAACTAATAAACATCAGTCACCAAAAGAACATCATACCAGTTAAATACAGAGTTTCATTAGTGAAACAGCTTAGTACACAGTAGTGTTGGAATTAGGCACTTAAACGAAATGCTTGTTTCCTTCCTTCCTTCTTCTTGTAGTGGCAGATAATTGGAAATTAAAAGAATGCACACTGACTATGGAATAACTGAACATACTGCGTTACTCAAACGCAATGAAATACTATTGAGAAAATGACAAAAGGGAGTCATGAGCTCTTCCACATTACCAAGTCTGTCTTTCTTCATCTGGAGAACAATTCAAACGCCTCAGTAGAGCTCTGGATCCCATTCTTTCCTTCAGCATTACCTCTACTGCCTCCCACCCCCTTTGGGATATTGCTTCATCTATCATTCTCTCTCTCTTGCTTTTGATCTCTCCCTATCAGCTACTTTCCACGTCCCTGAAAACATGCTCAAATCCCCACTGCCCTCGAAGAACCCTCCTTGACCTGCCAACATGTCCAAATACTTATTAGATACAAGGGGTTTTATGTGGAAAATGCTGGAGTTGATCTTGAGGGAAACAAAGACTTCTGTGAGGCTGAGGTGAGGAGGGGTCTGCTCATTCTAGCCATGGAGGTCAGTCACTACAATGAAGAAGAAACAGCAGGTGGGAGACGGATGAATTTGAAAGCCAGTATGGCTGGAAAAGAGAGTGCATAGAAGGACTGCACAATTAGGCTGGGGTCATTTTGTTAAAGGTTTCAAATGTCAAACAGGAGTTGATCCTAGAAGTATTCAGGCGTCACTAGAGTTTGCCTAAAAGATTGTCACAATTTAACTGTACTTTTGGAAAATCATTTTGGCAAACGTGGAGAACAGACTGGGATACGGAAATCTGAGGCAGAGAGACCGGTGAGGAAGCTATTGCAACAGTCCACAGGTAAAGGGTGATGAGGGCCTGAACTCACAAGGTGGTGACTGTGTGAGTGGAGAGAGGCCCCACTCACCGCTCTTCCTAACTATTTACTCAATCCTCAACCCCTGGCAACCTCATTTCTAACTTCACCCACACTTTACTGAAACCTGTTCAAAGCTCAGCGATGAGACTGCTTGAAATCTTACAGCCTCTTCTTAGGTTGTTCTTGACTTTTCTACAGCAGCAGAGACTGTTAACGACTGTCTCCTCCTCAATGCCCACTTGCTCCTTGGTAATGTTGAATTCTGATTCTCCCCTGGTAGCATCAGAACCCTGGTCATTGTTATTCTTTCTTCTCCTTCAGATACAAGCTCTTCCAGAGATTGTAGAATTAAAACTGGAAGGGAAACTCTCTAGTCCAATCTTCTCAGTTTTACATGGGAGGAAATTGAGGGCTAGGGACTTTAAGAGCAGACTACAGAATGGGGGTCCTGACTCCAAATCTGGCACTTTTTACTCCGGCCCATTGCCTGTTTTCCCTACTGTTATTTCCTTAACTAGTATTTCTCAAACCCCCGCTTTGTTTTGTAGGCTGTCAATTCACAATAATTGATAAAAGAAGAGGGAACAGGAAAATAATTCATACTACTGGCCACAGTTGTTATGAAATCTGGCTACCTGTATGAAAAACACACTGTGTTTTATGCTTAGGTTCGACTTTCCTAGGAACCATTCTTCCCTAGATCCCATCTCACCCTTCTGGGAGATAAGGCAGATGTGCACCACTGCTACCACTCCTCCTACCCAATTGCTTTTAATTAAATCAATAAGCTTTCATTAAGCACCTACAATCAATCAGTAAGCATTCATCATTTAACATTTGCTGTACACTGGAGTTAACAAAGACAAAAAAAAAAAAAAGAAACAATCCTTTCCCTCTAGAAGCTCACGTTCTACTGTGGGAAACATGTACGTTTATAAATACAAATTTAATACAAGGTAATTTCAGGTGGATCAGGGAGGGTCTTATGCAGGAACTGGCATCTGGGCTCACCTTTAAAGGAAGTAAGGAATTCTAAGGTGTCATGAAAAGGAGCAGTGAAAGGTTCTGGGAAGAATAGTTCACATAATCGGAATGGGAAAGATATACTGGCGCCCATCACCGGCCATGAGGGTCAAGAGATCCCGATTAAGACAGATGGAGAGTGGGGGCAGCGAGGTGGCGCAGTGGATAGAGCACCGGCCCTGAGGTCAGGAGGACCTGAGTTCAAATCCAGCCTCAGTCACATAACACTTACCAGCTGTGTGACCCTTAACCCCACTGTCTAGCCAAAAAAAAAAAAAAAAACTGGAGAGTGCAAAATGCGTTATTTATGCCTAAGAGCCGGCACCGTGGCCATCAGTGACACACAAATGTCCGTTTAGACCCCCGCCCTGGGACCCCGCTGGAAGCGCGGGGGCTCCTCGGAGGGCGACTGGGGACCCCGAAGGGGCGGCTCCTCCCCGCAGCTCGCACCCGGCTCGCTCTGGGGGTACTGGGGTGCACGGGGCCTGGCTTGGGCCTCTGGGCGTGTCCCCGGCGCTCAGCACACAGTAGGCGCTGTTTAAATGTTGAAGCTGACCAGAATCGGTGCCACAGAGGCCGACGTGCCCCGGACGTCCGGGCTCGGCTCCAGCAGACGCTCCGGGAACCTTGGCCGACCAAGGCCCGCCGGGGGAGCCGCTCAGGAGGAGCCGCCTGCGGCCCGACGATAACCGCCGTCGGCGCGGCGCTCGGAGGCCTCCCCAGGCCGGGCGAGGCCCAGGGCCCAGGGCCGCTCTCACCTTCGCTCAGCTCCCGGCCCGACAGGTTGAGCTGGCCGCTCTTCCGCGCCGCCTTCAGCAGCCCCTGCGGGACGACGGCGCCGCTGTCGCCCCTCTCGTGACGGAAGCCCGCCCGGAGGTCCCGGCCCGAGGCCGACACCGGCCTCTTCAGCCGCGACATGTTCGAGCTCGCGCCTCACTCCCCAACGGCCCCGCCCACTCCGTGACGCATAAACGCCGCGCAGCGCCGCTCGCTCTGCCCAGTGACGTAAAAACGACGCGCCGCGCCCCGCCCCCATACCCCTACCCCTACCCCCACCCCCACCGTCGGTCGCGCGCTTCAGCCCGAAGCCACCGCCTCGCCAACCTCGTGACGAACAAGCGGCGCGCCCCGCCCCGGCCAGCCGCGCGCGAAGGGGGGGGTCACGTGGACACCGAGCCCGGACGCGGTGTGCGCGGTGACGTGTAGGCGGGCGCGCCTGTGACGTTGCCAGCGGCGTCTGGGGCCCGGAGGGAGGGAGGCAGGAAGGAGGATCCTGGAGAGGCGCCGGGGCTGACTGCGTGTTCTTCAAAGCCAGCGTCCTCCTCAGGTAAGCGGCGTCAAGGCCCAGACCAGGCCCGCCCAGCGCCAGCCGCGGGCCGGGGGCCGGGGTTGGGGGCGGACGGGGCGTCGGGGTCCTCAGGGAGCCCAGGCCGGGGTCGGCCCGTCGGCCGTGAAGGCCCCGCGGAGCGCGCAGGCCGCAGGCCGCAGGCCGCGCCGAGACTCCCTAGGCCTGGGCCGTGTGCGCCAGCCACGGACGCCGGCCCCGCGCTTGGGGCTCCCCCCGGAAGCCCAGCGGCATCGTCGGGGCGGGAGCGGGCGGAGAGGCCGAGGCCCGGAGGCCCGTGTGAGGCGGGCCCGGTGGGGAGCCCGCCCGACACCCCGAGTGCGGCCTGGTCTGGCGGATGTGTCGGGGCTGCGAGGGCCGTTCGGTTCGTTCGAAGAGTGTCGGGGACCCTCCCGAACCTAGAGCGGGCCGAGCGCCCCTGGACCCCCCGTCTATCGGCCTCGTTTTTATAGGTGAGGAAACAGGCCAGAGTGGACCGAGGCAAGGGCAGTGGAAAAAGTCAGAAAACCCTCGTAGCTTCCCGTGTGACCTTGTTCATGTCATTTAACCGCTTTAGGCCTCAGTTTCCTAATCTGTAAAATAAGAGGGTTGGATTGTATGGCCTTCCGAGGCATTTTCTTGACTCAGATACAGAGAAAAACACTGATTGTGCGTGTACAACGAAGGTGTCGTACCGCCTCTGAACTTAGTCATTCAACTAGCATTTGTTAAGTACCTACTATGAGCTAGGCACTGCGATAGGTGTAGACAGACTGTAAACAGCCCCTGACTTTCTATTCTTCTCCTTCATTTTAAATTAATCCCCAAACATTTATTAAGTCCCTCGTATCTGTCGAGCATTGTACACTGGGGATACAAAAAGACAGTCCCTCTGCTCTCAAAGAGCTTATAATCTAATCAGGGAGACAGCGTGCAAACAAATATATATGAAGCAAGCGACAGACAGAACAAATAAATAGGAAATTAGGATTGGAAAAGGCTGGCTGTAGAAGGTGGGATTTTAGTTGGGAAGCCAGGGAGGTTAGTAAGTGGAGGAGGAAGGAGAGCATTTAAAAAGGAACACACATAAGGCCGGTAGAATGGAAGCGACCTGTCTAAAATCTCAGAGCTAGCATTGGAGAAATGACTTAAGATCAGGCCTTCTGATTTCAGATGTGCTCTTATTTCCACTACTTAACCAAGAAAGTGATTTGATCTGCAGTTTCCCGTTTCCTTTGAAAAAGAAGTGCAAACACTCATATACAAACACACGATCAAAGCTCTCCACTCACTTTTCACTAAAGCTGAAATTTGAGATAAATGGATTGTCACCAATTGAAATATTGAGTCAGGAAAAAAAAAAGAATCATAATTAGCCTCTAATTTTGTGTGTTAGTGTACTTTAACTTATGAGAATTTCCTTTTCCTAAGTCACTTCTAATACTTAATGTATAAAATAGATTCATGATGTAGATTTCCAGATAACTTTAAGAGAAATTAACGTTTTCATTATTGATGATTAATTACAATATAGTATTGAAAAAGGGTCCAATTTGCAGAAAAAGAAAAATCTTTTGTTTAGTTTGTGACATTAAGCAATATTCTTTCTGAGATAGTGGAATAATTATTTTAACAAGTTAATTGATTTCTTCTCCCCCCTATAATTCTACCTCTGAAAATTGTTACATACTTATATATACATGAGTAGATACTGTGCCCCTTCAATAGCTAGGGTTTGGTTAGTTTTTGTCTGGAATCCTCTCCCTGAGTTCATGTGAGGAGACAGAAGGGTAGTAGAAAGGAGCACTAACTCTGGAGTCTGAGGGCCTGGAGTCAAATCCTGTCTCTGACATGTACGATTTCTGTGACTTTGGGCAAATCGCTTCACTTCCCTGAGCCTCAATTTCATCATCTGTAAAAAGTTGGACTATATGGTCCCCAAGGTCCCTTCCAACTCTACATGTGTGATTTTGCCTCAAGATGTTAGCTGTGTGACCCTGGATAAGTCACTTAATGGTTTAGTACTCTAAGGCAGCTTTCTCAGACTGTGAGTTGCAGAGGTGTTAGTCTACATTGTTAGAGAAGGGATCTCTTCGCTGAGGATTCTAGTCTATACCAGTGAAATCACAGGCATGCTCCCCAATCCTTAAGCTCAGCACCTAGCATAGTACCTCACACAGTAGGTAGGAATTTATTAAATGCTTGCTGATTGATTAGGGGTAAGTTCAGTGGCAGAAAATGGAAGGTGTGGATTGATAGTTCTAAAGTTTTTACTAGTTTTGCTTTTTAAAGTAATATTTTACCAGAGTTTGGAACCAGGTATGCAGGGATGAAATATTCCATCAGTCAGCTAAATTAATAATAGAAAAACTAATCACAATTTTTGTAGTGAGTTGGTGGAAATTTCAGCCAGTCAGCTTGAAGCTTTCTTTAGTGAAACAGGTAGACTTTCAGCAGTTAGCTCAATGTCAGAGAGCCTGCAGTCTTTTTTTTTTAATTCCAAATTTTATTTAAAATACTTAAACACGGCTGTAATTTCATCATTCATTCTGTGTCCTAATAGTTGCTCAGCAAAAAGAATAATAATGATAATCTTGGTGTGGGAGTGTGTGGGTGTGTGTGAGGGAGAGATGAGACTCTGAATTTAGGACAAAAAACTATCTGTCCTTACAATGAAATTTTTCCAACTTGATATATAATCTTCCTAGTAAAATGGTGTCAAACTCAAATAAGAAGTGGGGGGGGGGAATCTGTGTGCTTTTAAAAATGTAATATTATCAGTATTTTATTGTATTTATATTTGTTTCGTTAAATATTTCCCAGTTAACATTTTACTGGTTTGGGCTTCACTGTTTAGGAGTGTTGAGGTGCAGCTGTGTGTTTGACACGTTTGCTAGACCAATCTCTCTTTCACTCAACTAATATAGCCTGTGTGGGAATGAAGGAAAGCACACCTGGATGTAGCATCTTGGTATGTTATTAGTGGAGATTTATTTAAAGGCATTGTTTCAATATAGACATTGTAGTTTCTTCTAAAATTTAAGACTGAAATAGGTTTAAAATCCATCATTAGTAGCAACATTTCAAAATGTTAAGATTTGTGGGAAATAGAGACTTCACAAATTTCTTAAGCGATCACAAATGTTTTGATTTCTGTACTTTTGTTTTCTTTCTAAATGAAAAAAAAATAGCCAATTATTGTCTAATTTACCATAGAAAAGAATGTCAAAAGCCTTATAGATACAGTTCTTAATTGTAATACTTTTAAATGTAACTGTATTTGTCAGTAATCATATTTGAAGACATTTGTTAAATAGTTATAATACTAACATTGTTAATATTTAGATTTCCATTTTTAAAAAAGAAAAACACTTTAATCCCCTTTGAACTCATTTTCCACCAAGCATATGCCATTGTTTCCAAAGTCTGGAGGGCAAACTTGTTTTGACTTGGAGTAGGAGGCAATAAATATGAAAATTTGAATTATAACATGAAATATTTCTTTACCTTTTAACTTTTAAAATGTGAATCGTCTTGGTAAATTTTAACATTTCTAACGTTTTATTTTGTAATAGTGATCAGCTGTAATTGCTATCTTGATGAGGGTTGTTAATTTGTGTTTAATGATATATAATTATAATACATATGTACATATATGTAATATTAAATGTTTTGTTTTACATTCATATATGCTTTTTAGGCTAAGGACTGGACCTGTTATTACTATTGGTATAGGAGGCTTCCAGATAAGGGAACCCTCTCTACAAAAGCAGATCCTCTCTTTCATTTTTCCAACATAACTACTGAGTCTGAGAGAGCAGCCTAGAGGATAGAGGAAATGACTTACCCAGGGTCACCTACCTATCTGGTTTGTGCTGAAGCCCAGGCCTTCCTACCTCCTGGGCTTTCTCTCTAATCTCTGTGCCATCCTGCCTCACTACTAAGTTTTACCTTGAATAAAATGTTGTTCAAGTGTCCTGCCTCCTTCCTACCTTGTGTGGCAGAGGAAAACTATTTGCATAATAATATTAAAATATTTTAATTTCTAGCATGGTTTATAAATATTATAGACAACCAAGCTACCTAAACAAATCTCGTTTGTTTTTCAAATCATAAAGAGGCCCTGATACAAAAAAAGTTTGAGAGTCTTTGCTTTAAATGAACCTGAACTGAAAATGAAACTATTTTAAAAACTTATTTTTGTGTGTTCTCTCTTTCAAAAGTTATATTCATAGCCTGGGTCTCCAGTTTCTCATTTTCCAAAAAAGTTATCTTATGAAAATTCAAATTAAACTAATCTCTCCTTTTTTTTTTTTTTTTTTCTGTACGGGATAATCTACCTTCAAAAAAAAAGAAAGAAAAAAAAAACAAGTATCTATTAACTCCGTAAGTGTCTTATTTCTTTGATGGCAACAAATATTGATACATTTTTACTTGTAGCCTCAAGGGAACACTGTAGAGCTGCTACTCTTTCTATAGTTTTCCCCCTGACACACACCCTTGCCAACGAAGTAAGTGTCCTGTGTCCTTGGAAGAATATTAGTCAACTTGTAGCATTTCTATTTTTTCAGTTGATAAACAAGTCAGCTGCCCTACAAGACTATAGTTATTTCAGATGTTCTTCTAAGTCTGCTCTTAGAGGCTCTAAACTCTTTCCACCATAAAAAAGGATGTGGGGCCCGGCATGGGAAAAGAAAAAGAAAAAAACCCTTGGGTTTTCCCTTACATGTTGCCAACTAGTTCTTTTCTACTTGATTGAAGATGAAAAATAGAACTTACAAATATGAAAGTTATTTTGAGGTGAAAATAAACTTTTGATTAGAATCAAAAGTTTGTTGGGTTACTGTCCTTTTGGAAAAGAGTTGCTGGGGCTGCAGAGAAGTCCAGTTTACATGAAACACTGTGTTCCATCCAAGCAGGCACTGTGCCAGTGCAAAGACAAACTTAACTTCTGTTGAACACACACAGGCACATAGAAGTACAAAGTGCACACAGGATATGAA